CTCTCTCCCTCTCTCTCTCTCTCTCTCTCTCTGTCTCTCCCCTTGAGGCCCCACCCGGGCCCTCGGCTCCTGAAGCTGCCTCAGAGCCCCTCTACCCCGGTGGGGCTTCTCTCTCTGAGCCCCACCTGCTGATCCACATGCCGGGACACTGTCTTGTTTCGTGAATCTCTGTGGGAAAGGAGCACACTTCGACGAGCAACACTCCACAGAGTTCCCGGCACATGGCAGCCTCTGTTGACTGCTCAGTGCTAGCTCTTCCTAGGCTATTCAGAAAATGTGTCTGGGGCCGGCCCCGAGGCTTAGCAGTTAAGTGCACGCGCTGCGCTATTGGCAGCCTGGGTTCGGATCCCGGGCGCGCACCGACGTACCGCTTCTCCGGCCATGCTGAGGCCGCATCCCACATACAGCAACTAGAAGGATATGCAACTATGACATACAGCTCTCTACTGGGGCTTTGGGGGAACAAAAAGGAGGAGGATTGGCAATAGACGTTAGCTCAGAGCCGGTCTTCCTCAGCAAAAAAAAAAAAAAAGAGGATTAGCATGAATGTTAGCTCAGGGCTGATCTTCCTCACAAAAAAAAAACAAAAAAAAAGAAAATGTGTCTGAGTGCTGAGGTGATCAGAGCGTGCTTTTACTTAGTGTGCCTTTTCTAACTGAGGTCTCCAGACACATGCGAATCCTGACACTGTAGAGTCTCTGCTTTGTTCCTGGGACTGGCACACATTACCTTGTGTCAAACATCATAGAAGCCGTGTGACTGGTTGTTGTCCCCATTTGAAGAAAGGGCTGAGAACACTCCATTTTGTTGAAAATGCATGACCATTCAACTCTCCTTGGCTGTTAGGTGACAGAGCACACTTTGCCTCCAGGCCTGGTTCTTAAACCCAGGGCTTATTTGTCCGCCGCAGCGGCCAGAGTTGGGACAGGGTGAGGGAGAGACACCACGGCTGTCCTTGGTCCTCACCAGTTTGTTCAGATGGCTTGTTTTTGAAGGGCGGTTCCTTGCGCTGTGCCCCATCTGGTGACTCAAACTCCGAAGTTGTGGCTTTGCCCACCCAGGCCTTCTGTCTGTCTGTCCATCCAAGGACCAATGGGCCCTTCCCTCTCCTTTTGCCTGTTTACTCCTGCTTACCTGTCACTCTCAGCTCACATGTCCACGATCCTCCACGAGGGGCTGGATCTCCATGTCGCCCACTCTCACGGCACTTGAGCCTCTCCCTTCCCGTAGCTGTCACAGCTGTCATGTATGTTGACGGGAGCCTGTTTGATTTCTGCCCGTCTGAGGGCAGGGCTGTATCTGACGTCATGTTTAATGAGCAAGTCTGCACGCTTGCCCTCTCCAGTGTTCTGCCTTCTTTCCTGAAGATTCATTTCTATCAGGGACCATTTCCCTGAAGCCTGAGGAACTTCCTTTAGTGCTTGTTGTCACGCGGTTGTGCCTGCCATGAATTCTTTTAGTTACTATTTATCTGAAAAGTCTTTATTTTGTCTTCATTCTTTTTTTTT